CCCCTTCTAATCGCCATAGATGTGTTCTCTCCATCTGATAGATTAACTGATCCTCTGTTGGTTTGTTGCCAAGATGATGTGTCCAGTACTGAGACAGATGTGATCAAGTCCTCCCCTATTATCATAAATCGGATGCTTCTTTTACTCTGGAGAGTGCTTTGTTGAGAGAGTGTGTTTTTTTGTTTTTTGTTTTTGTTTTTGTTTCCACTGATGCCTCTTGTGTCAGTGCAGTTGAGAGTCTGGTGTGCAATCTGCACAGTAGCTGTGGCTGCTGCTATAGAGCCTACTTTTGCAGCAGCCTTGGCAATGGTGGTGGCTATGGTGGGCTACCTGCATGAAAATAGTGTTTTTGGTATGCTCTGTACCTGATTGCAGCTGGGTTCAGCTTCCCCTGTCTCCATGCCTTTGTACCCTGGTCTGGCCCAGGGTGGTGGTGGTGGCTTTCCTAGTTCTGGCTGGATTCAGTTTTCCCCAGATCCATGCCTCTGGACCCTGGCAGGGCCCAGGCAGTGGTGGCTGTTTCCTTAGTTATGGCTGTGTTCAGCTTCCCCTGGCTCCATGCCTCATTCTAAGATGTTGTGGAGCAATTGGGGAGTAGAGGGAGGGGAAATAGTTTGTGAAAAGGGGGAATGAGATGGAGCATGATTGAAGCCCATGGCCTCCCACATCCCCTCAGGGGAGGCCAGGGGGCTTGTGGCAGTGTCTGGGCTGTCACTGGGGTGGATGCAGATGTTAGGGGGTGTGCCTCAAGCCCTTGGCCCCCAACTACCCCAGCTCAGGGGGCCCAGGGTGCTTCCTGTGGAGGTTCAGTGGTCATCATTAGGTTGGTTGTGGAGGTTGGGTGGGCATGGCTGAGGTGCTTGGCCTTGGCCCTCCCATCTCCCTGGCTTAGGAGCCCAGGGGCTTCTGGTCCTTCTAGGTTTTATAGGTGTTTGGTGGTGTTAGACCTTTACTAGTTAAGGTCAAACTTTGTCTCTGATCTGTGGGTATTTTGTTTTTTCTTCACTTCTGTGTTGAATAATTTGCTGTTCCCCCCACTTAAACTCTGCACTGGAATTAATTTGCTGTCTTTTGCTTACTTCTAAAATGGAACTTCCTGTGGGGACCAACACTTGATCCCTATGACTTAG